GTTAAAACAAAAATAATACCTAAAATTATCTCACATCACAGATTCTATCTGACTAATTTTTTTACAAAAGGTACCTATATGCTACAGCCAAAATATGCTGCCAACATAGTGAATAGATGACACGCTACAAAAGATAAAAGCTACGAAACTAATCACAGCGTGCAAAATACACACACTATCCAAAAAATATCAACTGGAACCCAAGTCCAAAACTTCGCAGAAATTAGTTCCATAACTCAAAACAAACAATAGTTGTCTTTGGCAGCCATAATGTCATAATGTTACGAAGACAAAACTGTTCGCTAGATAGCAGCACTGTCTTCGATATTAAACTTTGTACACAATATTTATCGCGACGTCCTGACAATGTTGGTTCCTATTGTATTTTTAGTTTGTTATGTTGGCATCCTGTAGCACCGAATTCTTGTTTTATTCACCAAATATAATAGAATTTTGAAATGTTCGAAGGAAATTGAATAGAACGTATATTGAACGTAATATTTCTTATTTATTTGATGCTTTATGTTCTGTGAAAAGACTTTGTAAAACTTGATGTCGTATAGTGTGTTATTTTTATCTCTATAAAAAATCTAGTCATAGATATAACAAATTCAAAGTCAAAGTCAAAGCATTTATTTCAATTAAGCCATAATTTGGTACTTTTGAAACGTCAACAAATACAAAATAAATAATACTCTGTCAGTCAGGCCGTCTGTGAAGCTAGGTGCTCATTCCAAAATGTAGATTCGAATGCAGAAGAACGAGCAAGAAACTCAATTCGTTATTCTTTATAAAAACTCTTATAGTCTAACATGGTGTTCACATAACAAGAACAGTACTTCTATACAAGAAAAAGGAAACTTTTTGTTTCAATAAAGAAAGAAATGCTCGAAATCTCAACGTAGAAGATATTTTCAAAAAGTATTGATTTGTAAAACTCAAAATAAAAAAATAACAAAGTGGCTGAAGACACATATTTTTAAAGGCACCTTGTAAAATTGTACTTACATTTCCAGTTTACTAGTTAAACATTATGTTAATCCATTTTCAAGAGATGTACCTATATATCCTAACAATCAAATGCCATCCAATTTCATTACATCACAACTGATTTCTCATAGGAATACATACTATGTCTACTATATTTCTTACCAGTTACGTTATTAGTTTTGATAATAAGACATGATCCAATTTCTGTGAGCACTGTCTGTATAATTATGTAGATATAGCGAGGATTATGTAATCATTTGTTACTATAGTTAGCTTTTGACATCGGTTTTACCCGCGTTACTAGGATATAATTGGGTAGTTTTCAGGGTATAAAAATTAAAAATCTAAATAGCCCGTCAGTTAGACAATAAAAAAATATTAGACACGTATTTTTTTATTTTCTCGTATTAAGGTGCAAGACTTAGATAAAACGGCGCTTAGTTTAGGAGTGGGAGGTACACACGTCATAACGTGCTACAAAATGTGGCACGCTGTTACGTCACACGATATTCAATTTCTAATTAATATAGCGTCGAAAGTATTTAATTTTGTGAGAAAGAAACAATACGTGTCTAAAGTTTTAAATTAATATACCAGACGGACATTTAAATAAAATTTAGGTAACTACCCTATTGGTATCATTATTTTATAGTAAATAAAGCTCATTATATTTATTTTAAAAACTGTTCAAACACACCGACTTCAACCTCTTGGTTTTTAAAGTCGATTAATTAATATACTAAAACCTTTTACTAAGTATATCAAACAAATATTTTTTGAAAAACGCGTCGAAATCAGTTCAGCCAATCATGTACATACATATATACAGATGAAACTAGAAACCTCTTTCTTTTTTTAAAGTCGGTTAATAATTACTGCACGGTTGGTCCGGTGGCTGGGCAACTGGTTGCGCAACGATCGATTCCCGCACGGAACAATTCTTTGTGTGATCCACAGATTGTTCCGAGTATGGGTGTCATGTGTATGTGAACTTGTATGTACCTACGACACAGGAGAAAATCCTAGTGTACTTATTAAAAAAAATCAGGTATAATCAATGTTAAACTCATCATAATAATTGAGCTCACTATCTACATTATTATATAAAAAACTATTTCACACAAGCTTCTCATTAAAGAACAGAAATAACTTCTTCGAATGAAATGCACAAAATACATTATTCAAACAAATTAAAGCTTAAAATTCCTCGTCATTCGTTCACTAATAACCGAGACGCCTAATTAGCTCTTCACTAGCAGTTAGTGAAAGAGTTGACAAAGTACCACTAGGTATATTTAGTACCACTAGGTATACAAAGTACCACTGGGAACACTATCTGAGAGCGCTGCGTTCTTTCATTAAAATGTCATTTACATACTAAATTCAAATTTCTTTGTGTAACGAGCTAAGATTTAGAGCAGGAACGTGAACGAAATCAAATAATTAGGTACCTAGTTTGAAAAATTTAGTCAGACGTTCTGAGTTCGATGTGCGTTGAATTTTATTTCGTTTAGATTGTATAAATTACATAATTTTGTACGGAAATAGACTTGTTTAATATTCTATAAGACTTAAATAACTATACATGTGTCTGCCTAACTTGTCGAGGGGTCGTAAACGTCATTAAAGAGTCGTGTATAGGGTTGAGGATTCAAGGCTTTTTCGAAATCCCAGTAATAGCACTGACTCTTGATTTTTTTTCTGGTGTATGACAATAGCCTTACCCTCTATGACATAGAACTCATTACATACCCAGTTAGGTACTAGATGACGCTACAGTGATTAACAATATTATCAAGAAAATTCTTCCTCGCACGCTCACATCACTACAGCAATAAGTACTTACATATTGGAGTTTGCGAAGAGTGTGCAAGTTCGACTCATCCTCGTAAGTTAAGTGGCCCCCAACTTGACTTCTTGTTCGCCACGTGATGAGTTTTTATAAGCGATGCTCTGCGCTGCTTACATTTTGTTCTTTTTGTACATAAATGTTACTTTGTTAAGGTTTTGACTGTCAATAGAAAACTGTTGAAGTAAAATCTGCTAACGTCGGTCTCCGGTGACACCCATGGCGTTGAATGTGTTAACGATATTTTTATATATAAAATTGTATTTGTTTTTTTCGGTAACTACAGGTCTGATATTACTACGATACGATTATATAACGTATTGCCTTAAAACTCTTTGTTGAAAGAGGAGTGTAGAATTTGCTTTCCGGGCAAGCAAAGTATTGTTTTGAATTAAAAAATCTTAGTACTACCAAGAACTATGAAATAGTGCTTTGTATATGGTAAAAGGCTCACTCCATATTATGTGGGACTCATTACATTTGGTGAAAACGGGTGGAGAGTTTTCCCATAAGGGTTATGTTATGTATGTCACCATGTATGATTTAGTTTGTGAAATAATAATAAAGTGTCCATATTTATATATGTATTTTTGTGTTTACAGGGTGCACAGACAACACAAATGGCCTGAACACAGACGCTGTACAGGAGTTGGACTACACAGATGTAGACTTAGGATTGACACAAAGGGGACCTCGTTTCGATGTGCCACATTCCAAAAATGTGACAGCCCTAGTTGGAAAAACTGCACAACTGAACTGCAGGGTCCACGATCTTGGAAATAGGACGGTAAGTGCCTAGCAATAAATCAAGTCTTCTGAAATAGAATTTTAGGCCTGGTACTTAAAAGTTTCCCAATTTTGCTGTTGAGATCTAATCCAATTGAAGTTCCACTTTCTACTACGAAATGAAACTGTGCGAATACATCAGAGAAGAATTATTTGCTTTCAATTTTTTCCACGACTGTCGTAAAAGTTCACCAAGGTTAACTCTTCACATTTGACGTAGACCAACACAATCTTTTTAATGACAATCTCTTTCTCACCTGCTCAGAGTACATATTATGGCAAACCTTCTTAGCCCGTAATCCACTGATGATATATGTACTAAGAGGGATCTTGAGGCTCGTATGAGGTTGTGATATCACTCTTATCAACGAGAACATTGTCGATACCTTATACTTGAATATTTTGTTCCCAGGTATCATGGATTCGACATCGTGACATTCACTTGCTGACGTCAGGCAGAATGACGTACACCTCAGACCAGAGGTTCATTAGTGTACACAACCCTCACACTGAGGATTGGATACTGAAGGTATGTAGAATGATATGATGATGGCTTCAGTTCTAAATTTATCTGTTTATTGATATTGGGGATTGTAGTTTTCGTAAGTAGATAAAACAAAGGAACCGTACCAGAATCATTATAAATATTTGACGTTAATTTTTATTCGTTTCTTTGTTAGATTACATATCTTAATCTGCAACGCAATAACAAATGGATAGAGAACAAGAATTTAAAAGGAAATTGTCTCTTCCTTGCTATGCTCTATATTATTTATTGTAATTGTTATTGATTTTGATTTATCCAATGAGACATACTTCTTGGAGATATCCAGTTACGCGTTCCACAAACTCCTATTACACATTAAACAGAATATTAATACACAAACATCAAATATTACACAATGAGTTCACTGAATCAATTACATCCCCATTTTCCGTTAAATTGTCACGCAGAAATTTTCACGAAAAATGTCTTCCATATTGAATCCATTACTGGATATTGTCGCAAAATTTCTTTGGGAATACCGTCTGTCTTTATTCTTAGTCAATGTTTGAACAACATTGTTATATGAGATGGCATATTCTGTAGCCACAATCCGTGAGATATGGAGTGTGTAATGCGAATGGTAACGTAAGGATGATCACACACTTCCATTTTTAATATTTATGTTTATGAAGTATATTTTTTGTGGTTCAATTTCAGTGATATAACATAATGTTGAGGTTATTTATCTCGAAGGTTTTAGCACTCCAATCTGTCAAAATTATTCTATGGATTTTAGACTTTATGTCAATACAATAAAGTTGAAGATGTTATAGAGATGTTATAGATTGATAGAAAAGGTTACGTTGACGTGCTGGCCACCGTCAATTTCCATTTAACTAAAAATCGCGGGTTACTCTCGTGAATATACAGAGAAAAGCTCTACTAGTTTCGAACTACAGAGGGATGATCCTCATGAGTAGCGTGCGTGGTCGGCGGCAGAGAAGGCTATGCGACATCGCCGCGAATGCGCACGCCGCTCACAAGGAAGAACCCCTCTGTGGCTTAAGATAGTTATTATAAATATTTCCTTTTTGTCATACTTACATATCCCATTTCTTTTATCAAACGAAGTGATTAGGTTTTTAAAATACCAAATGCATAAACAAATCAATGCATAAGCCTCGGAATAGCTTACTTTTAAAAATCTTTTCTAGCATCAGTATCAATATATATATGGACTAGTCTATTCACTCGTTCGACTAGTATTTAATTGCAACATTTATCTAGGCAGACAGTCTAATATCAACATAACATAAAATCACGCCTTTTATCCCCGAAGGCGTAGGCAGAGGTGCACACAGAAGTAACACCCACTTTCCACAATGTATTTATGTTATGACTCCCATGTAATAGGGGGTGAGCCTATTGCCATACACCGGGCACATTTCCAGACTTCGTGCTACTATTAAGAATTTTTTAAAAACCCAGTAATACTTTGCCCGACCCGGGAATCGAACCCGAGACCCCTTGCCCGGTAGTCGCACTCGCGACCACTCGGTCAACGAGGCAGTCAGAAGTCTAATATCAAATCATCTGTTAACTAAACTTATCCAATTTCCAATGATTATAATCTACAAGAGCAATCCACTCGAGTGTGTTCTAACCCTTTGATAGTTCTGACTTCATATATGACGTCACTTGACCTTTCACACAAAAATATTTATTCGCAAACGATCCTGTGATTATAAGACCATATTATATCTATAAGGCCATTAATTAAGATGTTAGCAATTATAATTATGTTCTTTGTCTCTTCGTTGCTAGCAAACTACTCGTGTCTCCTATTATTTTTGACCTTGAACTTTTAGTATAAGAGGGGACTTACGCTTGAATAGTTTCGTGTCGATAATTTGGCCTTTAGAAATTAATATATAAGATAGTAAATGTTTCTTCAATAAATCTTAGGTACCTATTTATCTATCTTCAATTGAGTTAATATTAAAATAATTCATAATGAAAATGGAATCGAAAAAACGTGTGCTATTGATTTGTAAATTTTCATCTTATGAAGTGTCAATTTAACGAATATAAATTATATAACTATACATGATAGGTACCATCTCCTATCTATTGGGATATAAATAAATTTATTTTTAAACAAATCAACAACTGCCTCGTTGGCTAAGTGGTTGCAAGTGCCGCTGGGCAACGGGTCTCGGGTTCAATTCCCGGGTCGGACAAAATAAAACTGAGTAAAAAAAAAATCTGTAATAGAATGGAGTCTGGAATTGCGCCCGGTATATGGCAATAATCTTGCCCCCTATCACATGGGACTCATAACATAAATAGTAAAAAGTGGGTGTTACATTGTACAGTGGCATTAAGTGCCGTAATGTGCACCTTTGCCTTTTCGGGGATAAAAGGCGTGATGTTATGTTATGCAATATATAAACCAACAACAAAAAACAGAACTTATTACCCAATATTCATTCTTTCGCAATTAAAATGTTCACCCAAACGACCTAACTGAAAATACTTATCTTGGTTACTGAAACTCATATTTTTACAGATAAGGTTTCCACAACGTCGCGACTCCGGCATTTACGAGTGCCAAGTCGGTACAACGCCACCTATCGGCCACAGGATGTACCTCTCAGTCGTCGGTAAGTATAAGATTAACTTTATTTTGTTTTTTATTTATTTGAGAAAACAAACGGTGATATATTACATGATACATTATAATGACACAATACAATCATAGGTAGTTCGAAGAAATGTTCGAGTAGAGGTACCTAGTTCGAGTTCGCTAGTAAAAAATAAAAAGAAAAATAGATTGTATTTTTATACCATTACTTGTAACTGTACTACTTAACTAAAAATTCAAAGATAGCTAGGTATGCTAATTTATTTTTCTAATGTATATTCGTCAGTTTTGACGTTTTTTAAGGGTTCTGTTTCTTTATATACTTCAACTATCTAACATCGCGAGGACACCGGTGACCGCAACCTATTGTTCTTTAAGAACCTAACTGGTAACCGGGGCTCCGGCTCGACGTGCAGGAGAAGGAACGGGGTGGTTTTTAGTCAGTAAGAGTCGGACACTCCCTCCCGCCTCAACCAGGTGGGAGCAGTCATGCGATGATTTTCCCCCCTTAAAAAAAAAATTGTTCTTTAATTGTGTCTATAATGACGGTACTCAACGAGTTAAAGGTGTTCTGTATCTCAAATCCTGTATTTTGAGTAGCTTAATCTCACTGACAGACAAATGGATGTACAATTCAATTTTAGGCATTTCAAAAGCCTATTTAACTCGTCGAGTACCGTCATTATAGACACAATTATAAAACAATAGGTTGCGGTCACCGGTGACCGCTTGGTGTTTGACAGTTTAAACCGATCCTTATTAAATAGTAATTGAAATAAATGCTTTGACTTTGACTTTGACCTTGACCTTTACTTTGACTTTGAATTTGACTTTAATTTATTAATATTACATGAATGGACTCCTAAATACCCTGACAGTAATGATAAAAAGTACCTAATTCCAATTGATTTGCAATGTTAATACAGAATTTATTATTCTGAAACTTAAATAAGAAAGAAACATTCGCTCGTAGTAATAATTTTCAAGCATATTTTACGTAACCTAATTAAAATCAAAGAAGCTTAGCATGCACTTAGTCCGTCATGTTTTCGCAACCTCCACATCAAATGAGGTAAGCTGTTTAATTCATTCATTTCAGAAACATCTTTAAATTAAATTAAAAGCAACGCTTCCGAAATTGAAGATATTAAAAAGCGAAGTTTTGAAAAATTACTACAAAGCAAATAATAAACAGACATAATGATAATATTTTGGCAAAGCAATGCATAATATAAAAGCAACCACGATCATATAAAAAACGACTTAGATCCAACACTGACCCTAATTTACTTGGAAAATATCCAGCAAAAAGAAGATACCTACAAAACAGCAAAGAAACAACAAAAAGCAACATTTGTTTTCTAATTTGCAGAACGCCTAAACATTCGCCTAAAGGGATACGAATGAAAATCACAAATTCGAAATAAAAACAAGAGAATTCCTAGCGACACAGGATTAGGGCATTATTTATGAGAACCTCCAGGCTTAGCTTTAAAAAAATAATACAAATTTCCTTACAAAGAAAAATCTAAGGGCACGCTGTTTATTTAGTGTCAAAGTATTTTTACGGAAAGCAAAAACGAATTCATTACTAACATAAAATTTTTGATAAGCTTGTTCTATCGCCAGCACGATATTAAGATGACAAGCAAAATTTCTTAATTTTATAAAGGTGACAATATATAAATTTTCTTTCCTTGTTTTCGTATCTGATCCCATGGAGGGCTGAATGTAAATATTTCTTAATTCTTTGTTTATACACGTTTCTTTTGACATTCATTAACGTTAATGAATCTAACGCTGAAAGATGATCTTTTTAAAAATGTTTTTGTTGAATAGGAATGTCATTATGACTGCCTCGATGGTCGAGGGGTCACAAGTGCTTCTGCTTAATACCAAGAGAAGTAGTTACTGAATTTGTAACTTCAAAATATTGATGATCATGTAGCAAGAAGACAAACATTTTAAAAATGTTATTTTTTTATAATACGTTGCCTCACGTTAGGATTTTCTCCTGTGTCGTGGGTCCGTTTACAAACATACAAGTTCACATACACAATGACACCTAGACCCGAAACAACAATTTATGGATCACACAAAGTGTTGTTCCGTGCGGGAATCGAACCCGCGACACGTTGCACGGCATCCGGTTGCCCAGCCCAGCCCAGAGAGGCAAATTTTACTTTGTCTTCTGCTCCAAATAGTTAGATAGCAGATTACATAATCAAGCAGTTCCTATTTACATTGATATGATTAAAAATTTTGATCAGCGTAATATCTTAAAAGGGAGGGGATATCAGGAATCCTTTTCAGTTCTATTTATAACACAAAACACATTAGATACTTCTACTGATAATTTGTCATCAGTTTTGCAATAATCCAACTCTTTGGTATAAAAAAGATACCTAAAAAAGTAGGTACTTGGAAACGAATACCGTAATAATTTTAATCTCCAGTCGTCAAAGAACGGTTGTAAAATATATTAACAGCTAGATTTTTACGACGAAGGAATAATAATAAATCCCTTAAAATTCACACATTAAGATAAAAATATGAATATTAAAATCGCTATGCCTGTTTCTCAAAAGGCGTTAGTTAAAGTAGGTATACTTACACGTCAAGCACTTGTATCTAAAAGGCAGAGCTCCTTCAGGAGAATTAGTTTTTACACTATCATATTATCATGGCATAACATAAAGGTGGGCAGAGATGCACATTATGCCACTGTACAATGTAACACCCACTTTTCACTATTTATGTTATGAGTTCCATGTAATGGAGGGTGAGCCTATTGCCATACACCGGGCACAATTTTAGACTCCGTGCTACTACTGAGATTATTTTAAAAACTTAGTAATACTTTGCCCGACCCGGGAATCGAACCCGAGACCCCTTGCCCGGCAGTTGCACTTGCGACCACTTGCCCAACGAGGCAGACACTATCATCAATACATAGTATAAAACAAAGTCGCTTTCGCTGTATGTCCGTATGTGTGCTTAGATCTTTAAAACTATGCAACGGATTTTGATGCGGTTTTTTTTAATAGATAGAGTGATTCTTAAGGAAGGTTTATATGTATAATACATGCATATTGCACCCGTGCGAAGCCGGGGCGGGTCGCTAGTAATAATAATATAATCATTACTATCTACTTCACCATTTATTAAATGAAATATCGCATGTAGGTGCAACTCATGTATCGATAGCGACACAAAGTTCTTAAAAAATACAGCTATAAAGAATTAAGTAAAGTACGCATTATTTTGCGTTGCCTTTGCCATACAATGTGGCAATGCTGCCAGCCTTCTGGGTACTGTCCGTATAGACGTCCATACGGACAAATTTTGTGATGCTCACTGTAAAATGATTTTTTGGTTTATTTTATTTAAATGTCCCCATTCGTTTTAGTTTATGTTAAGTTGTACATATTTTATTTATTTATCTCCTTATTTTTATATATCATGTTGTAAGCTGCTCTCCTACGTTTAATTATTTATCATTTCATTATTCTGTACCTTCCTCATATTCATACTTTTTACTATTAGTTAGCTCACCTCTTTTCTTTAGTATTTTCTTCTTCCAATAGAATCTGTCAATACTTTTGTTTTTTACGTCATAATTTTTCCAATGCAAAAATGCCTTCACATTATATTATATTTTAATAAACAGTTTATTTAACATTTTAAATATCATTTACTTTCCGCCGCATTGGTGGACCCCTAAAGTGGTAACTCCATAAAATGTAAATAAGTGCTAAAATTAAAGATATTATTTGTAATATATGTATGTACGTGTAATTTCTTAAACCCTAATAGAAATAAAGGTACATTATAAGTTCATTTCAACCGACGAGTTCAAAACCGTTTATTCTTATATTCCCAATTTCAGTAGCAAAACGTTTATCATTATCTTCCAAATGTTTGAAAGGAATGGTAGAAACATGCATAAAGCATAAAACACTCGATTTGAGCGGAAAATTTTCGGCAACCTGTCAAACCGTTCCCTGCGGAGCTGAGCCAGAAAATTCCAGAACACGCTCGTTCGAAGGAATTCGAATATGTTTATGAAAGTGGTGACGTATTGTAGTTGTTATAGATGTTATTTCGTCTTATTTCTGTATGTTTAGTATAGGAATGTATTTGAGAGTTTTGAGACTGGTTTGTTCGGGGGTCTCTCAGGTTTTGATAACGGCGAATTCAATGCAGTTTATTCATGAACGAAATAGTTAAGGCCGTTTTTACTAATAACCCCATATTTTGATAATGGCGAATTCAATGCAGTTTATGCATGAACGAAATACTTATGGCCGTTTTTACTCACCCCTAAACTGTCACTTAACTAAATTTTACTTAGCTTGACCTACCATTTAATTAATCCCTTACTCGTATTGTTAGGTGTCATTTATAGGCTGGTGACAACCAAAATGTTGTTGCATCTTACCTACGTACCTTAGCATAGGAGTTCTTTAAAATTTAGGAGAGATTCATAAAAAACTGACTGTTAGTGTTACGTATCATCATCGTACTGTTACAATAGATAAATGTAAAGCCCAGTTTTTTAAACTCGTTGCTAATGACCTTGAAAAACAATACTATCAAGCTAAAACTCTATTAATAACAACTTAACAATAAAGCGAAGCTACGACCATTAAGAAATAAAAATCACTCATTATACAAAAACGAATCTTAAAAACGCGGAAATTCTTAAGCAATTAATGGAATAAAAGACTAAAATGCTAAATTCTCTTTTAGTTTTTTTTCTCGAAATTTTCTTCGCATTCAAAACTGCTTGTAATGGCTTAATTGAAGAAAATACGGTTCTGAAATGACAGGCTGATTTAGCGTAGCCTTACATTTTCATAGTGACTCTTATATTTTAGCTCTTTCGTTATGATTTGGATAAAAATGAAAGGGTATTTTAATTTCTTTGACCTTTATTTTTATGCTGTTCAATCCCACTAATATTAAATTCGAAAGTTTGTATGTTTATTTGCTACTACTTCTCGTCGAAACGGCTAAAGGGATCAGGATGAGGAACACGCTTATATGATGATTTGAATACCTAGGCTACTTTTTATTCTACGGGCACGCGAATAATGTTGCTGGCAGAGGCTAGTACGTATTATATATTTTTGTGAGATTTAGTTACGTTTTAAAAGAAGGTTCTGTGTGTATTGTGATTAAAAATCACTTAAGTCTTCAGTACATTAGATTTTAATTCATCACCAATGGTAGCTTCGGTATGGCTTATACTAAACTAGCGACCCGCTCCGGCTTCGCACGGGTGCAATATGCATGTATTATACATATAAACCTTCCTCTTGAATCACTTTATCTATTAAAAAAACTGCATCAAAATCCGTTGCGTAGTTTCAAAGATTTAAGCATATAAAGGGACATAGGGACAGAGAAAGCGACTTTGTTTTGTACTATGTAGTGATGTAGTGATGTAGCGATGTCACAATTCAACAACAATGAATCTTAAAACAAAACTAAAACTAGTCCCACAGCAGCTCAGACAAAAAACACACGTAAAACAAACTACACAAAGTATACAATACGTTTACAGCTACCAAAAACCGATGACTGGATTTTGTAGCTCAATATTTTCTCAAAGCTTATGAATATGAAATGACGTCACTGTACGCTAAGTTGCGTCGGACGGTCTGTGCGGACCTTATCTAACGAACCTTTTGTGATGGACCAAAATACGCGCGGAGTCGACGTACCGCTGGGGTTCATGTGCATATCGATAATATGCGAGGCAGACCATTTTTTATCGATTCCAGACATTGGGAACGTTCCTGGGGTTATTTTTCATGCAGTAGGTATTATGATTTTTGGACACTGACGGAGCTCAATGTGAAATTGTAGTTTCTTGACTGTCATTTTGAAGGTTTTTGGAAAACAATGTATTTTTATATTATTACTTCTAAACCATCCAGGGCGTCACACAAACACGTACAGAAAAAACATTGAAATAGGTCAAGCCGTTTAGGAGTTTTTTTTATATAAAAACGTTGCCCCACACTAGGATTTTCTCCTGTGTCGTGGGTGCGTTTACAAACATACAAGTTCAACAAAATCTAATTGTGGATATCCTAAAGAGTTGCTCAGTGCGGGAATCGAACCCGCTGCACGTTGCGTGGCAGCCAGTTGTCCAGCCACCGCGCCAATCGCGCAGTTCAATGACATACACACGTACAGCAGAACTATATATGTATATAAAAAATATTCATGTAAAATATAAAGATATTTAATATTTGATCTGATCTCGTCTTTGAACCTTGAATTTAGTATGAAACTTAAATCACTTGACGAGTCAGTGAAATTAGGAAAACGTAATCAAATATTAACATTTCTATTTTGAAGTAGCAAAAAGTTCCATCTTTGAGCCCCCTCAGTAGCCTTAAGTAGCTCATCGTGTTTTCAAGTTTTTGTTTACCGAAAACAAATAATTCCCTTTACGTTTTGAGATTGATATTAAAGCGTTTGTCCTTATTAAGAAGTTAGAATTGCTCGCCTTTTGATTACGGTACCGGGAAAAGGACAAATACTTGCAGAACTCGCTTTTAAAGTAAACACTGAACATAATGAATGCTTAATCATTGGGTTAAATCAAGGATTTAATAAAGGTAATGGTGGAGTTACTTCCAAAAATCTAAGACATTGCTTCTAAAGGACTATCCTTTTGTGTTGTTATTGGCCGAGTGATTGCAAGTGCGACTGCTGGGCAAGGGGTCTCGGGTTTGATCCCTGGGTCGGGCAAAGTATAACTCGGTTTTTTATAAAGATTTAAGTAGTAGCACGGAGTCTGGGATTGTGCCCGGTATATGGCAATAGGCTCACCCCCTATTACATGGGACTCATAACATAAATAGTGCAAAGTGAGTGTTACATTGTACAGTGGCATTAAGCGACATAATGTGCACCTCTGACTAACCCCTTCGCACCTCTGACTACACTTCGAATGTCCAAATTAGAATTGACAAGAACGGAGTAAAATGTTTAGACTTTCTACTGTTCAATAAGAACAGCATAAGCTACCTACAGATGGGTAGTTAAGAAGGCTTAACAACACCAATACCCTAAGGACACGATATTGTTTATTATCTTCATGTCTCTAGTTGTGACAGTTTGTTTTTCGGAGTAACAAAATACTTCAAACTATTGAAACTGCCTCTCCAATTTGGTTAGAACTCCTTATAATAAAATTAGTAAAGTATTCTATAACAACTATCCCGAAATATCTATCTATCAATATTTTTTTTTTGAAGGGGAAAATCATCGAATGACTGCTCCCGCCTGGGTGAGGCGGGAGGGAGTGTCAAACTCTTACTGACTAAAAACCACCCCGTTCCTTCTCCTGCACGTCGAGTCGGAGCCCCAGTTACCCGTTAGGTTCTCCGCAACTCCGAATCGACATCGGTCCTATTGGGCCTCATCTATGGTGGTCTGATGGCTCTTTGAGGTTCGCGCGGAACGCGACGCGCCGTACGCTCGGGATCTATCTATCTATACGTATAATAAAATCGTAGAAAAGTCAAAAATGTACATTCAATATTAATTTAAAAGAATACTTGGAGCGTGTTCTATAGTCGATATCGAAGCCAAAAATATGGTTTTCGAATTTTGTTTGTTTTTCTGTATGTATGTACAGGATAATCTCAAAAAGTACTGCATGGATTTACTTCGAATGCATGCATATTACTAATAAGTTGGAACAACATTATAGCTACATATTATCACGATATCGTCTACGGGGGTCGAGCCCTATACTATGTACTGAATCAATTCTGACGACATTCGTTACCGTAGAATATTCCTTCTAATTCAAAAACCTAAATTCTGACAGAAGTCACTAAGTGAGTAAGCTAGTATTAAAATATTCAAAGAGTATGCCCGAATCCCAAGGGGGGCGATACAGATTTATAAAAATACAGTGCCTTCAGCCAAACGCCACTTTAGCGCTTGTCTACAGAGAGAGTAGAAAACTCAATGTATGGGGATGACACTGACAAGTGTCAAAATTTACGTCAATTCCATATAATTTGGTTTTCCTACATTTAGACAAGCGCTAAATGGCATTTGGCTACAGCTGCTGAATAGTATATTTGGTCAGACCACCGTATGGGGCTTTGGGGGGGGGGCTTTATGGGGCTTTATTCTCTGCGAGAAATATGGCCAAAGTATGTATGTATACATGAAACTAGTACTAGAATCTTGTAAATGAGCGGTACCTTAAGTAATTAAGTGGTTTCTTCAAGCAGAGCCCCTGACGACAATCCTGGGTGGTCCGGAGCTGTTCATCAACACGGGGAGCACCATCAACCTGACGTGTGTGGTGCAGCACTCGCCGGAGCCACCTCCAGCCATACGGTGGACTCATAATGATGAGGTAAGGACTTCTAATATTTAAGTACTGATTTTGGAACATATAACTGACTTGAAGTACAGGTTTATTTGGGGGGGGGGGGGATTATCGAATGACTTCTTCGGCCTGGGTGAGGCGAGAGGTCAGATTCTTACTGACTAAAAACCGTTCCTCCTTCAGCACTTCGAGGCAGAGCCCCCGCAACCCGGTTCTCCGCGGTTATGTTGAGTTACGGTTAGCAAGGATTGTGGCTCATGTCGCATCTTGATATGACCTAAAATTTTAAAATAAGTTTATATATTAGTTTAGTTTAGACAAAATCCGTTTGCATCGCAATCATTCTAGGAATATTTATAGAATCACTAGATATGTTTAATTAGGGCTGGGTAATAGGTATCTAAAGATGGGCCTTGTTAGCATCGAAAGATGTGGTTTAACTAATGTCACTTTTATTTCTGTTGTTTCATGAACACTTTTTTGGATTATCGTTCGCCTGCATAATGATATTGCCTAATTTAAAAACATCTAATTATCAAGTTTTACAAAATACACAGGTTTTAGTGTGAAGCTGATAAGAGGGATAATTTTCACTGCATTTAAAATAAATAAACCAACAATATAACAAGAAAATTATCCATTTACCAATGCAGTTCGTCTCACTAAAATTTTATCTATAGCATATAACATTTATTATTACACGAACAGTTTACATCTGTCCCCAATTAGCATAAATTCAGTTGTACGATATCAGTTGATTGAATCAGGCAGTATGGAACCGGCGAATAAATTTGTTGCAATTGAAACTATAGGAACGATGGTTGTGACCGATTTTACAAGTAGAGGCTCATTGTGGCTGCAATTTTGATATGTCAGGAAAGTTTAGTAAAAAGTATCGTAGATATACAAAAAATATTTGCCCTATATTAAAATTTTCTCTTGTGTCGTTTCTCGTTGTAGGATGCGTTTACAACCGTACAATTTCACATACTCGGAACAATTTATACAAACAAAGAATTATTCCGTGTAGAAATCGAATTCACGACACGCGTCAGCCAGTTGCCTAGCTTCTGTGTCAACCATGTTTTTTTTATAGCATAAGCCGGTAAACGAGCAGAAGGATCACTTGATGGTAAGCATTTGGCGCCGCCCATGGACACCCTAAACACCAAGGCGTTACAAGTGCATTATCAGCCTTTTGGAAATTTGTGGATTGTGGAGGATAAGGGGATTCGGGATACTAGGGAGGGGGGTAATTGGGCCTCCGGTAACCTTACTCACACGACGAAACACACCGCAAGCGTTGTTTCTCGTCGGTTTTCGGTTTTGTGTGATGCTATCTTTATTTCTAACACTTAGAAACAATATCCTAATTAATGATAACTTTACGTATGTGTTAGATCTGCCTGTGGCTATTATCATGCAAGTGCCATTTGAATGTCATGTTACTGGTTGCGTATACTGGAACATTTGAGCCAGTTCCTGTGACAAAGGAGTTAGTAATTGCATCTAGTGGTAGTTAGACCAATTTGGACATTGACTTCTGCCCAAAATTCCACATACACCTGTGAAATAGGATTTTTGGTATCACTGCAAAAGAATATGACGAGCTGTTGGTTAAGCATTTCATTTTTAGATTTGTTTTGTTTGTTGACTGCCGCGTTGGCCGAGCGGTTGCAATTAGTGCGACTGCTTGGCAAGGGGTCTCGGGTTCGATTCTCGGGTATGCCAAAGTATTACTGAGTTTTTGTTTAATTTCAATAGCGCGGAGTGCAGAATTGTGCCCTGTATATGGCAATATGCCTACCTTCTATTACATGGAACCCATAACATAAATAGTGAAAAGTGGATGTTACATTGTACAGTGGCAATAAGTGACGTAGGTAGATAATGTGCACCTCTGCCTACCCTTTCGGGGAAAAAGGCCTAATGTTTCGTTTGTTACTGATAATTGATTTGAGAATACTTTAATTGATACCGAAATCCTATTGCTAAGTCAATATCAGTATTATTACTATACGCAGATATACGCGAGACACAATGTGTATTCTTTTGTGTAGGTATCATATACTGACATTCAATCGGTTAGGAGGAAACGTGTAGTAACCATACTCTCGTATGTCAAACCAAAGTTTGTACATCCAAAACAGAATAATAATTATAACATTTATCAATCTGACCCAAAAACAAGGCAACGTGACGGTGGCCGTTAAAATCCCATGATTTTGTACCGAGGGCCAGGCGTCAGCAAAATTATCTCCACTGTCAACAGCCCGACAAGATATATAACGTTGTTCAGAAAAAATGGCCTCAGCGGACAACGAAGATTTTCATGTAAAAATAAGTCCGTTGCATTTTTTAAATGGTAATGGGTTTTGAGGTTAGTAACAATTTTATTTTAACAAGTCAAAATCATCATAACATCACGCCTTTTACCCCCGAAGGGGTAGGCAGAGGTGCACATTACGGCACTTTGCCACTGTACAATGTAACACCTACTTTTCACTATTTATGTTATGAATCCCATGTAATAGGGGGTGAGCCTATTGCCATATACCGGGCACATATCCAGATTCCGTGCTACTACTAAGATTTTTAAAAACCCAGTAATACTTTGCCCGACCCGGGAATCGAACCCGAGACCTCTTGCCCAGCAGTCGCACTTGCGCCCACTCGAGCAACGAGGTAGTCAAGTCAAAATCATTTTATTTCAATTAGACCAGAAAGGCTTTTTTGAACGAAAACGGTAACAAAAAATTAAAACTGAAGCTATTTCTACACTAAAATACAGTTTATTGCCTCGTTAGTCGACTGACAACTATAAGGTTTTAAATTTAGGTACAAAATTCGTGGAATAGTTATTAAAATACTCTCAACTTGGTTTCTCGTTACACTGATTCGAGTTCACCTTGCACATTAATTTGTTTTTTATATTTCAACTTATCAAAGAAATACACGAACTTAAATTATAAGTACTAAAGGTAAAATTAAATATTAACAATTTAGAAATAAACTAATGCTATGTATAACAAAACAGACGATAAACAGGAATAAATAAAAAGAGTTCTTAAAAAAAAACATGTTGCTATAGTAATATCAATTGCTACTTTCAATACCATAAAAGGAAGGACCAAATCAAAAGTACCCTTAACCAACGAGCATGCTTGAAACGATTGATGACTGTTGGTGAAGCGAAAAAGGTATGTAGGAATCGTAGCAATTGGCTTTACATAGTCTCTGTCTACTCCCATGGGAAACAGGCGTGAAGTAATTTATGTATATGTTGTTTCAATAAAATCTACGGTCATTTGCTTATATTAGTTAGACAACTTGGTTTTGGTTATTTAAAAAACGTTGCCCCACACTAGGATTTTCCCCTGTGTCGTGGGTGCGTTTACAAACATACAAGTTCACATACACAATGACACCCAGACCCGAAACAGCAATTTGTGGATCACACAAAGTGTTGTTCCGTGCGGGAATCGAACCCGCGACACGTTGCACGGCAGCCGGTTGCCCAGCCACCGCACCAACCGTGCAGTCAGTCAACTATCTAGCCTGTTGGTAAACGAAGATGCAACTTAGGAAAGAGCACGTCTTCCCATAACCTGTTTAATCAGTTATCGCCGAAGTATCTTCATACAATACTGACAAGTGCACTAAATGTTCTTCTACGTCCATAATTTAAAAATATAAAAGCCGAACTCTATAATACAATTCTTTTATGAACGAGTTTAAAATAAAATTATATTAAACATTTTTCTTTTGAAGTTGGTTAATACACATCAACCCATGCGATCCACCCAACGATATGAGTTCCCTGTAGAACTCATAACATAAACAGTGAAAAGTGGGTGTTACATTGTACAATGGTGTAATGTGCACCTCTGCCTATCCCTTCGGAGATAAAAGGCGTGATGTTATCTTATGTTATGTTATGAGTCTCATGTAATAGGAGGTGATACCCGGCACAGTTCCAGAATCCGAGTTACCACTGAGAAAGGCCCAGTAATACTTTGCCTGACTCAGGAATCGAACCCTAGACCCCTTGCCCGACAGTAGCACTTGCGACTACTCGACCAATTAGGTAGTCATTTTTAGTTTGAAATCGGTTTAAAATTACCTTATGGAAAGCCTAAAGCTTGCTATCACATAATCAATACAAAATACAACGTTTGTGCTTGGGTGAAACTTCCAACGAGCGGTGTTTGCGATGGTGGCAACGTAACAAATTTAGCTTCGCGCACCAAATTGAGGGATCGACGCCTCTCTGTCGCCTTATTTAAACGTTTCTTCTCTATTTCCACAAGCTTTGAGTGTAAATTCTAACTATATTAAACTATTTGCTTCGTTGTTAAGGCCATCTGACCTTTTCCTTGGCCTTTATCCAACTGAATTGGGAATTGTATAGATTTTCAGCAGATTCGAAAAATAATTGTTCTGTATTGTCGTGATATTATGCTTTTTATTTTGGTAACAAACGCCATTCGGTAGAAGAGATATGTGTTAGTATTTTCCGAAAGAACAATGCATCTATAAAGTGTTGTATTGTACTGTTCCAAAGTTAGGTGCATGCCCAAAAATTCGAGCTATGTATATAAAACTTAAAACTTAGATTCTATGTCAACCTAAACGTTACAATCCATGTTTAGAATTTCGTCCTAGAAAAGAACTTATCTATTTACTTACATAAAACATAACATCGCGCCTTTTATCCCAGAAGGGGTAGATAGAGGTGCACATTACGGCACTTAATTAATACCACTGTACAAAGTAGCACCCACTTTTCACTATTAATGTTATGAGTCCCATGTAATAGGTGAGCCTATTGCCATATACCGGGCACCATCCCAAACTCCGTGCTACTACTGAGAATTAAAAACACCCCGTAATACTTTGCCCGCTCTTGCGACCAACGAGGCAGAGATCTATTTACAACAACAATATCTAAGAAAAAAAAATCCTCTTACATAATCAAATCAATCTCCCGATTCCATCTTGTCCTACATTCCAAATTCTATTTACTC